TTGAATATTTTCCATTTTCAATCAAAATTTCAATCAAAATTCGAAATTCAATGATTATATTTCCACGAAATAAAGATGGATATATGCTGCGACTATTTCTTTATCGAATCAAGTTGGAATAATTCCATAGCTATTGCATATTATTTCACAATTATTCGTTTTCTAGAGAATCTTATAACCATACAATTTAATAGAATTTGTTAAAAATGATGCACCTGCACACTTTTGTATACTGCGTCGGTATGCAAAACATCATCTATTGCAACATGATTTGTAAAGGGTTCAATGTCAATCGAGACATAGAAATATTTTAATATCGTTGAAGATTCTATTGAGTTTAAGTTTTCAACTTATTTTATAAGCTTTGCTTATTTTTGAGAAAATCATTTAGACAATTTTGTCTTGAACTCATTATCTTGAGATCCACTGATTATGTTTCTATGAAATAAATATGGATATATGCTTTGACCATTTCTCTCTCGAATCAAGTTAAAAAAATTCTATGACATTGTTTCACAAATAATCGTTTTTTACAAAAATTTATAACATTACAATTTTATAGTATTTGCAAAAAAACTTGCAAATTTTAATTATTTTGATAATTAACTTCCCGTAGGGTAAGTTATAGTAATCGCAAAAAAATCGATAAAATGAAAATGTTTATATATCTTTACGTTTTAAAGGTTTCTGAATATTTTGGCATACCTTAGAAAAAATGGATGTGTGGCAGTTCTAGCCGTTCCGAAGATAAGGAGCAAAAAGTGCCAAAAATGGTAACTCAGTTTTTAAGAGAACGGTGCTTCCAATTTTAATAATTCAAGAAACATTTTACTTGTATTGACAAAATGAAGAATTGATCAAATTTTCATGAAGGCAGGTTTAACGGTTTCGGAGATCTTATTAAAAAAGTAAAAAAAAAATGCTATTTGGCGGTTAAAAATGATCATTAGACATATGCACATCAAATTATCAGATATTTTATAGAGATTTTAACAATAAGTATAATTTTTTTTACATTTCTATGGGTTCCGTAGCAATGCTTCCCCATCAAAAAAAAATTTTTTTTGTCAAATTTATAGTTTCTCAAAAATCTATTTTTTTTCGAAGTAAAATACGGGATACGGGAGTTCCAGCAATTTGCCTTAAGGCACGATGCCATGCGCTCCACAAGTTTCATCTTGAATTCTATTAGCATGAGTACTTTCAGTACTTTGTTAAATAAGGAAATAATTTTATACAATAATATATACATGAATCATAAGTTAGCCATATGTTTATTACCATAAGTTCTTCTGCAACATCTGTTAATTCTATCATTGTTCTTGCGTTTTTCATGCACTAGAAAAACGCATTTGCTGCCAATTCATAAATTCATCCGCAAAATAATATTGAAAATATTGAAATATTGAAATTGCGTTATGGTACAGTGAGTCAGTCAGGCTTTAGTAAACAAAATGTCGTTTTAAACACATGCAAATTAATGAATTTGTAATATATAATGGTGTTGCGTAAAAAAACTGGTTGCGATAATTAAAATACTTATTGTTTCATTGTGTCATATTGCATGTTGTTTTTTTATTTTTAAATATATGACACTATTGCCTTTGTGCTCGAGCAATACATACAGAAAAACTGTTGACAAAGAAATATTTTTTTAATTCATTTTTTCTTCACTGTTAAAGGAATCAACGATCAGAAATTGACATGATGACATATGACATTTAATCAATCGGGAGTGCTCCACGATTGTCGGCAACGCTCGTTTACTTACTTATTTTGAGCATTTTGACAGTTTGCTAGAACCAATTCATATGAAGATAGGCCCCTAACATTCTGCTAACGTTCGATTATTTAAATTTGTTGCTATTCAATTTCTCTTACAATAAATTTATCCTCAGTTCCCAAATTAGGGTGTTGCCGTTTATAATCTCCATTTTTTTCATTTACTACAATATATCATGAATATTCGTCATTATTTATACCAGAGGAGCCCAGACATGGCACGCTCCATGACACAATATGCATACAATGGACAAGAGTATATGGTAATATATTTCTTCTCAAAAGCACCACCCATCGGATTAAAGTAATGATACCATACTAAAAGAAAAGCGAACAAGTTTTTAAATGTACAATGTAATGTGCGATAAGACGAATAACTAAATATTCCTATAAGTAAACTTGTTTGTTACTGGTTCAGTTTCGATATTGTAGGTCAGGAATGTACGATTAAAATAACCAGACAAGCCGCTGGGGAAAAAGATAGACTCGGTAAGAAACTGAAAGAGTCTTTTTTATAGAAACAGTTAGGGATTTTGTGTACTTCATCAAAAATAGATAAATTAAATAAATTAAAAGTACCACGAAAAATTACCAGATCACACGAACAAATATTTAGAGGAATTGAGTGAGGAATGTCCTACTCGAAGATATAAAAAAATGGCTATACGATCTAAAATAAAATGTTAAAAAAGTCTCATTGGAGATAAACTCTTTAAAGGCATTGTTTAAAAAATAATAATATGCATAAAAAAATAAATAAATTAAAATTGATGAAGTAAAGTCACGGTTGAACTTTCACAACCAATTTTTGATCTTGCTGGTCTTAATGATCTTTATACTCAATTCTCTATGCTAATTTAAATTAAGGTGTTATAATCAAAAAGCATTAGTTAATAAATACAAAGGAAGTAATAAGACTTGTTAAAAAATTTGATGGTAATGTGGACGTATTTGGGTGGCTACTTGCAATATCTTCAAAGTAATGTTTGAGCTTTGTCAACATCAACCTTTGCAGTAACAAGAATAGAGAAAATCATCATTACAAATAAACGGTAATCAAAGAGTCTATGTTTTGGAATATCAAATTTGGTATATCGTAATTTTTAAATTATGACCTCCTACAAATATTGTAATATTTAAATTTGTTGTAATTCTGTGTCTAGTAAAAAGGTATAGGCGATTTGCCACAAAATAGAAAAGAATTTGGTAATATTTTCTTTAAAATCTTCATTTGTTTCTAACTGTTAGATATGTAATTTTTATTTGGCTACCAAGTGAAATGGATTGTATTTATTCATGATCTATTATTATGATACACTTCTAACACATTCATACGAGTATATGACATTACATTACTAGATTGTGATTGATGAGTAGTAATTCCAGACTAACTAGATATTCAGAATTTAAAATTTATTTTATTATATGCAAACAATACGTTCTCATGTTTGTCTCGGAATACTGAAGATAATATAATGAAATTGATATACATCGCTATGTATTTGCATCTGAATTATATAATGTTCTGTTACATGTTTTGTCTTGGGAAGACAACTTTTGTAAGTGGATTATAATTGCATCCGAATGTATTATTTCTTTATATGGAAACATCTTGGTTCATAATGTACGAACCCGCAGCTTCTGACATTGAGAATAATTTTTTGTGGATTGCAGACAACTAATCCTATTCGAGTTAATAATGAAATTATTAATAATTATTAATAAAATTAATATGCCAAAAGAAGCAATAAGAGTATGGGAGCTAGCAGTTTCGATATATTGGTATTGGCTTCACTACATACCAGTCAATACCAGTCTTGATGTTACAACAAGCCCCAGACTTAGATACAACTAACCCTTGGTGTGATTTCTGACATTGAGAATAATTTTTTGTGGATTGCAGACAACTAATCCTATTCGAGTTAATAATGAAATTATTAATAATTATTAATAAAATTAATATGCCAAAAGAAGCAATAAGAGTATGGGAGCTAGCAGTTTCGATATATTGGTATTGGCTTCACTACATACCAGTCAATACCAGTCTTGATGTTACAACAAGCCCCAGACTTAGATACAACTAACCCTTGGTGTGATTTTTTTACATTAATCTAGATAACTATTTAAACAATTTGGTAATCACAAAAATTGTTACATATTATAAAACATTGATGAATTTGAAACGAAATCAGATATATAAGATTTTAAATACTAAGGCCAAACGATCTTTCATGATAGTACAATTTTATATTATGTACCTGTCATTGATCATGCATCTGCACGCTTCTGTATACTGCGTCGGCTATGATGACATGATCCGAGGGGATTTAATGTCAAATTGATGCAAAAAAATATTGTAATATCGTTTAAGATGCTATTAAAAAACGCTTACTACTGCTCATTCTTGTTACAATGACCCTCTATAGAGGCTACCCTACTATAGCTCACCTGCTCTGAGAAAAACGCTTATTTGATGCTATTTTTTCTGGATAAATTAAATTGTTAAAAATAGGACTTATTTTAATCCTTGGTAGAGTGTAAACTTATAAATTAAAATGGAAGTTTAAAGACTTTTAATCCAGATTTACGACGATCACAAGAATAATTATTTTATCAATGGATGTAAGTACATATTTCATTCACAAAATACTTAGCTTTTTGCATTTATTTTATGCATGTTGACTCATTCTTAGTACGAATATATTCTTACGATTGTCTTCGATAGACAATCTAAATAACACAAAACAACGCTGAACAACTTTTTTTTAAATTTTAATTACAATCTGTCACACTTAGGACATTCAGTAATTGTTTTGACTTTTTCTTATTATATGAATCTTGAATGGATGGCAACCCAGTAGTTGTCCAGTCCAGTTATGACTAATTATCTATACTCGAAGTATTTGCTGACATTTTTATTATATATGCAACTATACCCCCGAAAGGCAATTTTCACTTGAGGCTATATTTGAGATCTATAACCTCAAGTGGAAATTTGACATCAAAGTTGCCTGATGCCAGGTTTGGCGTAGCGGGAAAACGTTGAACAAGTGATGTGAAGAACCAAATCGTTTAACATTAATAAAAGAAAGGCAACAACAAAGTGCGTGTAGAAGTTAGTTAGATGTTTGATATATGTATGAAGCCAATATTGTCATTAACACATTTACTTATCAGCCTTCTTTATACGGTATGAACATGTTTTATTTTATTTTCAGGTGAAGTTCGAGGGTCGCACCCAATATCTGTCTGCGGTCTGCATGGCCTGCCTGGAGGCCTCGAGCCCTGAACGCGTAATCCGCTGCCGCTTTTGTACCACCCAGTGGGACGGATCGTCCCTGGTTTTGGGCACCATGTACTCCTATGACATCTTTGCTGCAATGCCGTGCTGCGCCGAGCGCCATAAGGTAAAATTAAAATAACTATTGATTTATATTTAAATCCTTTTGCTACGGTTGTCGTCTATGGACGACATCTACATGACTTGCTGTGTGTGCGGATGTCGTCTCTGGATGAAAATTAAAGTCAGTTAAAGTTAAAGTATTGACAATGCTAGACTTTGATTGTAATTTATAGTTTATAGCAGAAAGGTTAACACTTTGGGGACGGCTGTCCACCTCAGTGGACAAACATACTCTGTGAGGCACAGGCTATTTTATAAACAATGACTCAGTTTGCATCGAAAAGTTGAAAAAAAGTTACATATAGCAGTGATAAACAGTATTGTATTTTGAAAATAATTTAAATTATTTTGGTAGTATTTTTAGCCTTTTTCTTTGCTATATGGTCTTTTTTTTAATATTTAATACGACCGAGCGCTTTTAAATATGGAAAAACGACTAGTAAATTTTGTGAATTAAGCAGTAGTGAAGATGAGTTTCAAATAGACATTCATACAGACAAATTTTACGAAATTACTATTCGCACCGATGATAGTGATGAATGTGATGATGATATTATTCAACCAACAAAAAGAAGAAGTTCGACAAAATAAATGAATAGCGGAAAGACATTAGCGAATGCGTCGATTCTCCTTCAATAATCGAGTTTGACATACATCAACAAACACCCCGACTACAAATACCAAGCAATATAAGAAGAATTATTAGACAATATAATAGAAAAAATAAACCATTATGGCAGCAAAAAAATGACCAAATATACTGACTAATCAGTGGCATATTCTAAATTCTAAAAGAAAAAGGGATTGTATTGTCTGTTCAGACAGAAAAGCACCAGGAGGAAGGCGGCGAACAACATTTTATTGTATAACATGTCAAAATCAACCAGCTATGCATTTTGGAAATTGTTTTGAACGTCACCATTCTTTATAAAATGATCAAAAATAAATTAATATTAAAAATGTATGTCCTTCAATGACCACAAATTTTTATCAAACAAATTGCATAACATACACAATGAAATCAAGTTTACAGACGGTAAAGTAGATTGTTTTGAAATCGGTGCCGTCCCGAAAGTGTTAATAAATACTCTCAAATCAAGATATTCAGTTTGTAAATATGTTTCTCTAAATAATTTATCATACTCTTATTTGCATAAAATGTGATTATCTTCAATTCTAAAAAAGAACAAGAGGATATTATATAACCTTGTACGTTATTACGCCATATAACTTGCGCACAAGATATATAAATCCTGCTTAAATACTCGCGCGTTTCGCTTTTTACCGCCGAATGAATATATCTTGTACTACGTTCAGTTTAATTTATTTCTGTAGCGCGTCTTTGTACGGCTATGTTTTGCGTTATTAAATCCTGAAAGTCGTATATGTAGGCACATTATCAGTAGACAATGCCAAGAGCAATATCAGGCGTACTTCGTTTCAGACATCAATGCATCAACCGCACAAAAGCAAAAGCGTTGCTGCTGCTTTTATTCGCACTCGACTACTGATTTGATTCTAGGCTCAACATTTGTGTAGATTAATTTCCAAGCCATTTCGAACTCATAATGGGAAATTTCATAGGAGTTCATCAATTTATAATACCGAGCTCTAAGAGTTTTCAGCATTTGTAGGTTTAATTGAGAATCAAAGTTCAAGCTTCAATGAATACTAGTTCAAGTCCTTTTAAATTTATTTAAAGAACGTTCTATTCTTGTTCAGTATTTTTCATTATTGTTAAAACGTTGTTGGGAATGTGGATAAATAGTAATCTTATTGTTGCAAATCCAGCGCCATGAAAGTTACTGAAAGGGGAGTAATGTGGCAGTCTTGACAGATCTAATTTTATAAATTTTATATTAGATGATCTGATGCTAAGATAAAATTATAACTAATAAATTTCCACAAACCACATTTTATTGAATTTTATATAGAGAATTTTCCACATTTCGAATCATTTACATTTGTATAAATTTTTGTTAATAAGGCATAATTAACATTGTCGTCCCTAAATAGTTAATGAAGATAGATGAGTGCTTGTTAGTTTCTATGTCTAGTATCATCAAAAGTGTTTACTCAGCTATCTCACTGTATATTCTGTTTTATCTAATTAGTAGACCATGAAGAGCTTACGCCCGAAACATGTTTCATTTATTTTCTAGCCGAAAAACCTTTACAAGCTTTTAGTTTTTGCTCGAAATTCTTATCTAGTAGCTTTTAGCAAGAGATAGATTGAATTATATTTTGATATGTTAGAATTGCACTGTGTGTTGCAAAATTGTAATTATATTTTATTTGTCAATTTTTATTTTTATAATAACTATAATAACCAGTTTATTGATTTTATTTTGTCGTTTTAACTCAAAGTATGTGTATAAAAAATATCGATACCCAATAGAATCTTCATTGAATTGTGAAAATATTGATTTTTAATTCAATAAGCTTAATTAGCGAAACCAAATTAAATCAAAATATTAATAAAAGCGTTGCAAGCACAATTCTTAAATTGATTATAGAAATATTTATGAAAAAGCTCTTCAGTATGAATAATTAATATGCTTCATTTAAATAACTTAAGAATATCGTATAAGTGTAATAAAATAATACTTGATGAGAAAACCGTTTTTAAATTGAACCATTATTGATTCTGTACATCTCAAATTAATTAATATTTTATTTTAAAGAGCATTTACTCTACTTGCAATGTATAAAGTGTAGTAAAAAGAAATTCATTATTTTACCAAAAGATGCCTCTAATTATTTACGTTATATAAGTCTCATCGGGTTCATGTTGGAATGATGAGATTTCGTACTGAAAAAGCTATTCTGACAATTTTGTAAAATGCCCTTAAGGTTGTCCTCTTCATGGCCAATATAATAAAACGAAAATACGTCCGAACATTGGTTGACTCGGTTTTTTTAGCCCTCGTCAAATATGGTCAAAAATGTAATTTCCAAGCCATTTTATCATTTTTATATTCCAGTAAAAACTTATTTACATTATTATCTTTAATATAAAGAGCAGAAAATATTTTGACCGAATTAAACAAAAACAAAAAAAATTATTTACCATGCATGTGAAATCTCGTCCGTTATATGTCTGCTTTTTTGTACTCTTGTTTATTTAGTATGATTGATTGATGACACATACAATATACAACCATTTTCATCATGTTTTTCCATCTTTTCTCTTCTCCCACATATTAGACCGATCGGCTTAACTTAAGCGTTGATGGATCATGGAGACGGCCTTCATTGAATCACGGCTGCTCGTATATTTTACGTCTAAATAATATTTATGCGAAAATACTTCGCGACTTAACGATCGCCTTTTCTGGCGGACTCGCTCACCTCAATTACTTCAACATAATCTTTACTCGTCTTAATCGAACATAAATCGGAAACGTCTTCACGCAATTTATATCAACGAGGAACAGACACGTAATTTAACGCGTTTTACTTCAGTTGAAGATTTATGCATTTCAGTTACTATTCGAATAATTGCTTGGTGTGTGCTATTGATTTATAATTATTGATACAAGTTCTGTACGATGATGATTATTTTCCAAGAGCACCTTGTACTTGTAATTGTTCAATATTTTTCAAAAAAACCATATACAATTTCTACGAATATCAAATATGAAAGTGGTAAATGATGGGGTAAAATAATATACTACTATGTTCGACACTCTAAATTTTTATTTACTATAACTGAAGTAATAGAGATACCTACGGAGAAAATAGTTTATATGGACAAAATGACACAGTCGCCTTATTTGAAAATTGGCTAGATTTAGTAACGTTATCGCGACTGTATAACATGAAGCTATAATCAGAATCCTGTCAGATGTTGAACGTCATTGTCACAGTCTTATAGTAGTAATTAGTTCTAACGTGTATCGTGCCTTCAGAAGTTCATTTTGATGGTAGTTTTATCGTGTTCTTTTGGGGACTAACTTATTGTTATTTGTAATTATTTCTTTTAGAATCGATGAGCTCATGCCAGTGAGTACTAGTGATTTCGATCAATATTATTGCAATAATCAGGTGTTTGGTGGAATTTTGATTACTCATTCATTTTTGTGTTCTTTCGGGCAGACATAGTACTATTCCGCAAGCACCAGGGGGTAGTTAATTCGAGACCACGAAAAAAAAAAAATTAAACCTGTCGAAGCTTCACTTTTAACTTCTACTCTAACTACTTCCAAAAACAAAAACAGACCCTTGGACTTATGCGTTATGCGCTGATGTTCTAGAGAAGACCAATATTTACAACTTGTTCAATGTCTTTGCATAGTGCAATACGATGCTTTACTTAGTTGTTACTGCGTATTTTGTGATTTGGAAAGGAATTTTATCAACTACTGCTGGGCTTATCAAAGATATCTCGAGCTTATAGTGTTGTACGTATGATTCACTAAGAATCTACGTTGTTTGTATTCTGACCGATACAATTGCTTTATGATATTATTTATTATTATTACAAATGGGTGCATCTCACCTACAGTTTATTGCCTTACCTTATATGTCATTTTGCCCGTAATATATGGACAAAATTGTTACTGCAACTAATTGCATTCTTTCTTAATAACTGTTATTACAGTTGCTGAAAAATAAAATGTAAAAGACTATGTTAGTGATAGTCATTAAATCTTAGATGCGTAAAAACGATCGAGACTGATTATAACATCAATAAATACATAATATCATTCAAAAAAACAATACCATGATTTTTTGACCGTGTTTCCTCTGCATTAATAAGAATTTTTGTGGTTGCTTCACAAATGAGTTCTGATATGCAACTATGAATTAATCATTATGTATCTACTGTCGGCATTTAATAATAAATATATTTTCTACACACAACAAATTAATAGGAACTAGCTATTTAGAATTACGCCAGTAAAATTAAACAACCTGGAAGTACGCTCTTTTAACTATCAAATATCAATTGAAACTTGTTGTTGTACCATAAACTCTTTATAGCTATTTGTAATTCGCTATTGTTGTTTTATGCATAATGCAAATTTAATGCGTGGATGCAGCACTGCCCTTGCGGTGTGTTCTCATTAGCCTTGAATCGCTCGCGTTGTAAAAAAATATGTTCTTGCCGCCTCGGCTCATAAAACAGTTTGCCGCTGTTGTCGGGCAGCATTTTTCGTTTTGGTACATGTGTTGCGTATGTCAACCGCTCAGGGCTTTTGTCATGTTTGCCGAGAGGGGCACATTATCCGGTATTATGAATACCGATATATCACAAAGTGAATGAACAATGGTCGGAGATGTTCAGAAAGCGTACTTGGATTAAGCCATGTCACGCAGTCTCTCCTCCTTATTATAATTTAGTGAGCTTCTTTGTCGAATTACATGTTGCAATGACCCAAATCTCGGAAAATAAAATTTATATGAATTATAACTGAAGTTTTTCAGCGGCTTCTGATTCACTTGGATTGATAACATGAAATTCAAAAAATTGTCTTAAAAAAAGTACATTGGTACTTCGCATAAAGTACTTAATTAGTAGAGGGGAATAGTTTGTTTTACAAAAAGTTTGCTCTGCTAACGCATTTTTCCGATGTTTCCAAAAATATATGTGTAATTAATAAAAATTATATAACTTATTTATCAAATAATATAATAATAATTATCGGTTATATTCACAAGAGTCGTACTGCTTTTTTGTCTTTTTCGCTCCTGAATTTTTAAAGAAACTGTCGCTATTGTTTTCTCTATTTTAGACGCACCAATAATTATGAGCACCAATATTTCTTCTTTTAACCTCAGCTTTTTTTGTGAACATTTGCGTATTTTTCCTTCTTTTTCATTTGACCAAAAAGTCCTTAATATAGGTGCACTAGACATCAGTTCACAGCCCTTTCATACCTCTGTTTTTTCAATTCTCTAACAAAATTTTCCATAAACTTTTATAATGCGAAGATGTAACATCGAACAACAAAAATGCTTTGAGTGTGAGCTTTTTCTCTGATTTGTATATTTTTACAACGCCAACAATTTCTAACGTCTATTCATCAAAAATTAATATAACTTTTGCCATTGTGAACTTTTTATTAATCTTCCACTGAAAGCCAACCTATTTTTGACCGCCAATGACAATGGTGCAGTTTGTTATGTGAAACATATCTTATTGGGAAAAGCGCCCGAAAAATGTTATGCACAACGCCCATTATGCGAGGCGTAAGTTGTGCGAGATCCTACAGTATTAAGATAATGCTATTAAGATAAATTATTTCAATTACTGTATTGCTTTATTTTTTTGCAAAATAAACGTTTAACTATGGATATTCCAAATATTTAAAATTAATAATATTATATTTCTATTTTCAGTGTAACAATTGCTTCAAGCCCTTGCTCCATCCTCATCAGCGCTTGAACTTCTTCAGCGACTACAGTCATACTCTGAACTGTCCCTTCTGCCACGTTCAGGACACACACTTCGTGAAGCCCTTGGCTTTCTGCTACACCAAACAGACGTTCCCGCTTTACCAGCAGTGGCCATAACACGATGCCTCGCCGACGGCGGTCCATGTGTCCGCCTCGGCGACCGCCTCGACCGCCACTGAAAGCAATCGACTGTACGACCGCCAGCCACGAGCCATAAGACCACCAGCCCGACATTCTCCTATCCCATCGCTACCTACTACACCGCCATCTATGCAACAGATGTACAAAACATCACCAATTGGCACAAAGACATCACCAATAGGCACGTCCAAAATATCACCGATTGGAACCAAGACATCGCCGATAGGGTTTAAAACCTCGCCGATTGGATTTAAGACTTCTCCTATCGGTTGCAAGACTTCGCCAATAGGTTTCAAAACCTCACCAATAGCGCTACGAACCTCTTCGCCAATAGATCTCCCGGCACCTCAGCCGAGAATGCAGCCTATTAAGGCGGTGCCCTTGCTTGGTGGAGTGCTTCCAGCAAAAGCGCGGATTACCACAGTCGCTGATAGTTGTGCACAATCCTGTTTGCAATTATTTTCCAATGAATTCATGGATTATCTCAATCAGATAAGTTAGATTGATAAGGTAGACGAATCATCAAACAAGTTATTAGGATGATAACATGCAGTGAGTATTTTCATAGTCACCAAATTTGTGGGATCATGAACATGGTATTATTAGTGATCTCTTGTTTAGTTTTCGAATGAGATTTGTCTATTAAACAGTTAATGTATTGATAATGAGTGTAATTAAGTGATCTAAAACAATTAATTGCTACCTCAATGAACTCAAATAACATCAAGAAGATTTTCCTCAAACGGCGATGGTTGTATATGGCGATGTACTATGTATTTATATGAATTTATTAATTAATTGATTAAAAAGCGGTGAACAAACGACGGACTGATATTCATTAGCGGCATGGCAGTGCGACAGCCACGATTGTTTTAAAATAATTCAAATTCTAGTGTTGATAAGTTTTGTTCTGTTGAAGTTTGTTTTCGTTCATATTTTTATCTTAGTGCACCAATTTATATTTAAATAACCTATTATATGAAATATTTTATGTTATTAGATAATTCTAGGTTTGAATTAATTACTGAATATTTTTGTTATAAGGACAACGTGAGCGTTTTCAAACTGAACCGTTATGTTGTTCTTCTTAGAATATATTAATTTTTAATAAGTTAGGTATCATACTAGAGGTTAATATGCAAAAGTTTTGAATAAGATTAAACCCTATCCGCGTTTTGATAATGAGAAGTACAGAAAGTCGAAGAAAAACTTGTGTTTTGAAAAAAAATTGAGACGGGCGTGTCGGCAGTTAGATGCTATGTGATTCGCGCAATTTTTTTACATAAATTCGTAGTATATAGATTCTATATATATAAATATATATTGAAACATATTTAGTCGTTAAGATTTTTTCTATTTCTAATATTAGGTACATGCGATTTAGTGATGTGTAAAAACAATAAATTTTCTAATGTGTTTTACTTTGTATAGGATTTATGAAAATTTATCTCCATTTGTTGTTGTCGGTATATTGAATGAATTTTTGATTAGATAGTTGATACTACTACACATTAAGGTAATAAAGCTAAGAATTTATGCTGTGTGCGACCAATAAGCAGGCTTGGAATTACATTATTCAGGTTGTTTTTATTGTGTGAATGGATTTTGTAGAGATGAAGTACAGAAATGTATAATTATAACGAGATATACGAATTGAATAAGAATAATTCATTTCGATGAAAGATGAACAATAACTTTTTCAAGGAAATTAGAAAACAATATATTTGACAAAAAACAGACGACAGTTTGATGGAGACGAGCGATGGCTTTTTTGCTTATTCATATACACATGCGTATAGAAATATATGTCTCATTAAATAAAAATCATAGGTGTATTTCGAAAATTTAGGAGTTCTATATTTATATAAGCATTTATATTGTAAAATTTCTAGGCGTTATAGGTTTCTAAAATTAAAATTTAATCATAAGAAAAAATAATATATCATTTTTATACGAGCTATGATAGTAGTTATTAATATACATCTATAAACTTTCTTCGTGTTTCGAATAATTTTAGTGATTTAATGAATATACACATAGTTGCCAATTAATAATGGTATACCGATCAAACTTTAAAAGAACTGCCTCCATCGTCATCGTTTTTTTGTAAAAATTAACATTTATAAAAAATCATCAAATCATCACGGGTATGATTGTGTGTGAATGGTCGTAAGATTGCCGGATATTTCTTTTTGGTTTTTCTACTGTATTACAAAAATTTGGTTTTTCTGTCTTAAAAATTTAACTTTGTTTTCATAAAAGTTAATAATCGTGCATAGTTATAAATGTATTTTATGAATCACAGATATTGAAAATTAGTCATTCAGGGATTCAGAAATGCCTAGCAGAACGTGTTAGTTCAATTGACAACATCTAAATATGCCAAAAATCATTAAATTGAAAATACACTTTAAAAATGGCTAAAACTCTAAATTGAACTACAATTCTCTGTCGCTGAAAAAATTCAAAACGTTTTAACTATAACTATATATCACTTATAATAATATTGTGGAGATTGATCAACTTTATATAAGTTTTTTTTTCTAAAAAAATTAATTAAACATTTCACTTTCTCATTTTTGCTGTTTGAAATCTTCACAACTTTATTATTAAAAATTTGCCAATTAAATTTATAACACTAAAAAGTAGGAAAGGAATTGAACTATACTATGAATTACTACTTGACTTACATAATTTAATTTTCAAAATATTTCACTTAAAAAAATAAACGTTAAAAATTAAATTTTCATATAATTTTATCATAACCATTCAAATCACGTAAAGTAATTCATATTATATTTTGATTCAAATATAATACAAAGATAAATATAAAAAATTTATTAGTAATAATTATATAAAATAGAATTTAAATATATATTATAGAAATATCTTACGGAATTATATATCGCAAAAATAAGAATTTTCGTCATTTTTTATTTTTCTCTATTTTGTGCATTGTTGCTCTGGTTTACTTTGTAAGCATAATTTTTATAAGGGACAATTATATTCATTTAAAAAAAGTCTCATTAATTCCATTATTTTTACATTGTGTATTCAATTCGTTGCAATTTTTTTATATAAATTTAACAATTTTATGTAAAAGTGTGTAATTACTGTAGATATTAATTTACATCAATATTTTTAAAATTTACAATCATTTTTATGATAATGACTAATTGAATAATTTGTTTGTTGCTAATTTAATTAATACTGATTTTTTCAGTGAAGTACTATAATTTTTATTTTTATTAAATTTATTTCATTAAATATATTATTTTTTCCTCTAATTATGCATACAAAGTCAACAGGTGCCAGGTATGCATGCATATAAAAAAAAGATAACAAAGAAAGTTATCTCACTTTCAGATCATCTGATGATGAATACGTACAAAAGAAATTTTTATCTTTGCGATGACTTTAAACTTATGATAAATTAAAATATAATATACTACATATATCTTCGTGTTATATTCCGTCTGCGGCCGTTTGTACCGTTAATTTTGAAAGTTAATAAATTATCCAGGAAAAAAAACAGTTGATGAAGGCGACAAAGCGATTTTCTTACAATAATATTTTTGGTAATCAAATCTTTAAAAAATAAAATTCTAAAATAATATAGTTTTTCATCTATTTCCAACGGTGCAAACGGACAATGTCGGATGCTTGGTTATTGTGAATGTTATGTACTGCAAAATTATAATACTATTTGAAGCAAATGAATCTATATAAATAATCCTAGTGAATAAAATTTCTATAACCTAAAATACGTCCGTGAAAAATCTTTATGCCGATAATAAATGAAATTTTAAAAGACAGAACCGATTCAAATAAATAAAATATTAAGATTTACGAAATAACCATAAATTTACCTCGACACAACAAATTTTTATAAAAAAAATAAATACGTTCTGAGTGAGTATTATATAGCTATAGAAACAACATCTTCCAATATATTTGATATAAAGTAATATTGTATATTAATGCCCATAGATATAAAAGCCTTTCCCAAAACAATGAAATAGAACGAATGTCGTACAAAAATATTTGCCAATATTAGGTTTCAGTTCACGGTTTTCTTGGATAACCGAATCTTTTTGAAAAATATATTTAAATAGTGTATCGTTTACAAAAGTCAGTACATAACTGAACAAATATCACTTAACTGAATTGTAAGTTGTCGATGTTTTCTCTAATCATAATCGTTTTAGTATCTACGAACTAGTGCTTAACTTATCTATGTTCTGTTAGTTTTAAGAGTAATTAATATTTATTGAGAGTTGATTGATTTTTAGTGGAATTGAATGTACAATCTACATATCGCCATCTTAAACTAATCGTGTTAATAATTATCATAAATTTTATGCATTCCCCTTGAATGTGAAAAATCTTAGTCATTTCTGTTTCTCGTTGGAATAAGTCTTGAATATATTATTTCTGTAACAATAAGTAGACTACGATCGTTGTATCGGGGGAGGATGAATTTTGGGGAAAACTTAAATTTAACGACATGCCCAGAGTTATAGGATAGTATACTACGATTAAGGGGCCAATTTTTGGATAAAATAGAAATGATATTTTACGGGTCTCTAATCGTATGAGTTGGTAATCACGAACCATTTTTTTATATTATTCTATTTATTTATTGGCCTTGCTTACATGGAGCATTTAGCCACCATCAATGTTTAATTTTCATATTTTATACTATTTTTTAAATTCAACTTTTACTTATCTTTCTATGCAATTTTAAATTAACAATACGAATTCTAATCAATTTTAACTCATTTTTTATCTTATTTTTTTTAATCCTTATTTCTTCTGGATTCATCTCCTTTTTTCTTCTACTAATACAATTACGTTTTCTTGTAAATCCAGTTGAAACTTTTACTAGATTCTTTTTTTTTCATACTTCTTTGATATTTACAAACTTTAATAATAATGTATTCAATTACAATTATATCATCATTATAAACTTGTTATTACAATTTATTTTGTT